AATTTTTAATGGTGAAAATTGGATGGAAATTAAAAATAATTTTTGAAAATTAAAAAAAATTTTTAAAAAATTTTCAAAATTTTTAGAAAATTTTTAGAAAATTTTTAAAAAATTTTTTGAAAATTTTTAAAATTTTTTTTTGAAAAATTTAATAGATTTTTTATTGCCATTACAGAAAATTTTCCAAAAAATTATTGAAATTCAGTTAATAATTAAAAGTACGATCGAACTAGTGCACCTTTGGGGCTGGAAAATACAGAAAATTAAAATAGTAAAGTGGGGGTCTAACTTGGTCACCCCCCCACCAATGATCAACCTATTAGAAAAATTAAACTAGACAAGGTTGTACACATTAGTGGGAGTATATTAAAACGAGGTTAAATCACAGCAACTAAATCACAGCCATCCCAATCAGACGTGGGCGAAACGTTTCGTTTCGTTGTTTCGTTATGTTTTTTCCTGTTTCGTCTCGTTTTGTTAACGAAACGATTTTTAAAAATTTTTGTTTCGTTTCGTTTCGTCCGAAAAAAATTTGGAGTTTCGCCCAGGTCTGATCCCAATAAGCATTCTCCCTGAGTTATTCCTACAGTCCCTGATTTGACACCCTCGCTCGAGGGTACTTTTTTGTTAATTTAATGGCCACTGCCTTGATCAAGTTGCCTAAGCGATACTCTCAAACAATAACTTAATATACAGTTTTCAGCCCTATATGTGTACTTATAAAATGAGAACCGGCTGAGACTAAATTTAATAAAAATTTGATCAAAAAATTTTTTATCGATCTTTTAGATTTAAACTAAAAATTTTAAAGGGCAAAAGCATGTAATAATAATTAAAAATATATCAAGTCAATTAAGGGCGGTCAAAAGAAAAAAAAGGAAAAAAGGAAAAAAGGGGGTTAATGCGCGCCACACACTTCAACCAGCCAAACACAATCACTTCTCTTCCTTCCTTTCCCGTTCTTTTCAATTCTTTCCAAAAATTTTTCTATTTTCAGCTCGTCATTAAAAGAGCTGTGTGTCATGTCAAAATAAATTAAAAACCTGATCAATCGTTGAAAAAAAATTTTTTTTTAATTTTTATAGAGGGCGGTCTTTTCTTCTCCTTTCCCAATTAAAGTAACCGCCGACTGAAGAGGTTAGCGCGTGTGGGCGCGCGGGGGAGATAATATTATAAAATGGCGGTTGAAGGCTATTTAGAAAGACAATTTGTGTGAAAATAAAGGCGAGAATTGTGAAAAATTATTTTTTTTTATTTTTAAATTTTGTGGGATTAACGGAAGGATAATGAAGGGAGAAAAAAGATTTTTGGTAGATTAAAAAAATATTTTTTTAAATTCAAGTCCTCTTAATGAGGAGACAATGTACTTAATATTAAAAATAATATTAAAAAAAAATAAAAATAATAATTAGAAAAAATAATACTACCCAAAAGATCAACAAATCCTCCAGTGATCACCCACAGGTTGAAGAGTAGGGTTGGGGGCCCGATCCGGCCCGGTCCGAAAGATCGAGTCGGGCATTAAATTTTGGCACGAAAAAGACTCGATGCCCAGCCCGATAAAAATGAGGCCCGAAAAAGACTCGGCCGGGCCGGCCCGATAAAAATGAGGCCCGAAAAGAATGATTCGAACCAGGGGTGAGCGCAAGAGACAATCTCAAAAAACGCAAGACGCAAAACGCAACGCAAGGCCAAAATTTAACGCAAGACGCAAAACGCAAGAACGCAAAATTGGGAAAAAAATTTTTTAAATTAAGTATTAGCCATTTTTAAGTTAAAAATTGGTGCATTACTATAAGTCAGGGAGCCCTAATCGATTTTGTGATATTTGTAAGTTGGATGGGTAATGTTTTGAAGAGATATAGAGGATTTAGATGGATTATGACGGATATCAGTGGATTTATAGGGATGAAGGGGTTTAACGAAGTAGCGGGGGTTTGCTGAGATCATCATGTAATTTGGAGGATCAAGGATATTTAAAACTGATACCATGGAATTACTGGCGGATGTCGGGTGAGTTAGGGAGATAGCGGAGGATATTGCTATCTGTACTTATGAATTAATGAGGGGATATCATGGGATTTGGAGGATAACTTGAGATCTGAGCTCCAAATACTGAACCGATAGTTTTCTGAGCGTTCCATTATGGAAAATTGGAATTTAAATACCATACTTTTAGCGCCGCAGGCGCAAATTTTGAGAATTTTGGAATGCCAGAAGCTAGTTTCTTCCAAATTTTACCCTCAGATTAGAAGGATAACAGGAATTTGAGCATAAGTAGCTTCAAGTGTTTTTCAGTCAATTGATCTTTTCCTTTACTACTCTTATACTTTTTAATTTTAGCGCCGCGGGAGAAAATTTTAAGAATTTTGGAAGGCTAAGAAGCCAGATTTTTCATTTTCTGCGCCGCAGGCGAAAATTTTGAGAAATTTGGAAGGCCAGAAAGCCGAATATCTTCCTTTTTCAGCGCCGCAGGCGAAAATTTTTAAAATTTTGGAAGGCCAAGAAGCCAGATTTCTCCAATTTTATCTTCAGATTGGGTATATTTTTTGCGTTAATTTCATCGAAATAAACGCAAGACGCAAAACGCAATGCGCTCACCCCTGATTCGAACGTCGGCCCGACTCGAAAACCCCAACCTTATTGAGGAGGGTAGTCTCCTACTATCAGTCTCCTACTATCCTTATTTCCGGTGAGAGGATGGTCAAGTAATTACCTAATCGGTTTTCTTTCATAAGTTACTACAAAAAATAATTTCTGAAAAAATCCCAAAAATATTGTTAATCTGTTGATTTTTTTATTTTGTTGATCTTAAGGGTAAGCATAACAATAAGACAAAAAAAGGAAAGAAGAGGAGATTTGTAAGTAATTATGGGATCCTTCAATTTTTAATAGGTTAATCTGTAGTTTTTTTTAGGTTACCCGTTAAAATAGAGGAAGGATTGTTTAATATTAGAGATCCTGATTTTTCACGAGGTTTTCCCTCTATTTTGGTATTTGTGAGCATTTGGGCCCCTCTCAAGCTTATCCAGAAGACTAACAAAATAAAGGAACCTTTGAGATAGTGGCGGGTTCGGATATCCATATCCTATAAAAGTCCGGATACCCCGAAATTTTTGATTTGGATATCTGATCCGGAATTTCCCGAGATCCTCCAAACCTATTTTGAGATTTTTCATCGTATACCTTTTTGAGGTCGATCTCTTTGACTTTACCTAGTTTGGAAGAGATTTTGAATGATTTGCCCCCAAATATTAAAAATAATTTTAACTGCTCGTCAAATAAAAACCTGCTTTTTCTCGTTACATAATATTATTTATTTTATAAAACTAACGGGAATATCATCAACCGGATAGAAAAATAAAAACGGAAAATTAAAAGAAAAATGTGTGTTTGTTGTTGGTTAGTCAATGGGAAAATAAATAAAAATACAAAAGAGAATTGCAAACAGAAAAAAAATTTTTTATTTGTGTGTGTGGATTACGGAAAATCTGGTAAATTAATGGAAGCGGTAGGAGAGAGAAAATAAAAAAATTGGGTGGTAGAAGGTTGATGGAATGGATGAGAGACGGGGAGGGGGCTATACTCTACCACAGACTTATTCTACCGCAAAAATTATGAATGGGGGAGGAGGTAATGAAGTCAGGGTAAAAACAATTCGGTAGGATTTGAGATTTCTAGTCGAGCTGATTCTGAAGGTGTTTGAAGGTATCGAAAAGTCATGGTAAAAGTCACGATAAAAGGGAGAGAGAGAAAATGAAAAAATAAGTGGTAGAAGGTTGATGGAAAGGAGAAGGTTATACACTACCACAGACTTAGTCTACCGCAAAAATTTGTAAAGGGGGGAGGTAACTGAAGCCCTATGCCGAGTCAATTTCGATTCATTTACCCCCCCCCCCCCCTTACAAATTTTTGCGGTAGACTAAGTCTGTGATAGAGTATACCCCTCTCCATTCCATCAACTCAAAGCCAGGGTAAAGCAATTTCGACTAGATTTGAGGGTTCTAGTCGGGCTAAGTCTGAAGGTATTCGAAGGTTCGAAAAGTCTTGGTATTACATTAAAAAAAATGTGTTAACTTTGTGGAAGACTGGGCTGTGGTAAACTGGCCTGGAAAAGACTGGGCAGGAAATTGTTGTAAAATGAATGGATGCAAACATTTATTGATAGAAAAAAGGAAATGGGGAAAAAGTTGATTTAAACAAAAAATAAATCTACGAGATTGTTTTTAAAGAAAAATTGTAGCAGGAAAATGTGTGGATATGTGTGAGAAAGTTTTTATTTAAAGAGCAAAGATTTGGTGTAAATTAATAAAAGCTGTGTGGACTTTATAAAAATAAAACAAACATTTTTTTAAATAAAAAATATTTTTTTTCTCTATTTAAAATGAAAATAAAGTGTTTTACAATGAAATAACTTGAAAAAGAATCGAACCATAAACTAAAATATGTTAACTGAAACAAAATTTAACCAACTAAACCAGCAGATTTCAATTGGTAAAAATAGGGGAAAATAACGATTGTCGTCACTTAAACGGCTCTAACTTTTTATGAGGTTATCAAATATTTTTAGTCTTTTTAACTAAAATAAACTAGAAAATCAGAGCTCTTGAATGGTATAATTTACGCTCGGATTGGGTAAAAAGCAAAAAAGTTATAAAACTAGGAAGAAATCCACCTTGCAATAAGAAATAACGATTGTCGTCACTTAAACGACTCTAACATTTTTTGCAGTGAATAATTAATCAAGATCCTTTTACCATAATAAACTAGAGACTCAGAGCTTTCGAATGGTTTTAGTTTCATTCAGATTGGTCAAGAAATAAGAAAGTTATGAATTTTTAAAAACACATCTTAAATAGCAAAATACTTAAATTTAAGCCAAAAAATATTAACAAATTGGCATAATGTTTATTTTGACGTTTCGTCTCATTTTTACAAGTACTGTATCATTTTCTCTTCATTCCTTAATTTTTAAAATATTTTCTTAAATATTTAAGGAGTTTAGAATTTTTTCAATGTCTTTAATATTTTGGCCTATAACTGATCAAGCAGATGTCGATTCAGAAGAAGATTGGGTCTGTTGTGGAATAATGCATGCCTTTTTTGGTTCGATGCTTTTTATGTTTGGAGAACTTACAAAATTTCCAACAATGCTGTTTATATATAAATATATTTATGAATTTGTGAGTTTTCTTTTTTTGATTATTTTTATAAATCAAAAAAGATGAGGGGTGTGGGAAAGGAAAACTGAGGAAGAGAGTACCCTTCGTCAAGGTAAAAATTGCTCAAATTTTGATATTAGCCGGGTTATTGCTTTTGGACTTTTGCATCCTTGGGTCTGAACTCTTAAACTTTATACTCCGAAATTTTCAGACTTTATTTGCGGACAAAACTTTTTTGTTTTGTCCGCAAAAAATTTGCGGACAATTAAATTTGTCCGCAAAAAATTTGCGGACAAATTTAATTGTCCGCAAAAATTTTGCTGACAATTTTGTCCGAAATTTGCGACATTTGCGTCTCGATACTCTCTATACTTTTGTCCGCAAAAAATTTGCGGATAAAACTATTCTGTTAATTTTTGGGAAAAAGGGACTTTTAGTCTCATATAGACATCAGTTGATAAATACTCAAGTAGGTGTCCGCAAATTTTTCTCATTTGCGGATTTGTATTTGCTGACTCTCTAAACTTTTTTTATTGTTTAGTCAATTTTGCCTACTGGATTCTTCAAAGTTGTATTCATAAATGACGAGTTGATTCAGTGGATAATGTTTATTACTGTATTGCCGGGAATTGTTGCATACTTAAGAATTGTAAGGAAAAAATTTTTTTCGTCTTTTAAAATTTATTTAAAGTTATTGTGTTTATATTCACATGTTTGTGCTGAATGGCATCATAAATTGGCTATTATTTGTATGGCAATCTATTTTATTAGGTAAGTTTGTGTCCGCAAAAAATTTGCGGATTTTGTTTGTGTCCGCAAAAATTTTGCGGACTTTTGAGTCTCGTATAGACGTCATTTGAAAAAATGAACGAGAGAGGATTAAGTACGCCGATTCAATATCTGGGGCATTTTTTGGGCTATAACTTTTTGATTCCTAACCGATTTAATAGTTTATGGTAACGATAATGAATCGTCCTGTACCGGAATAGACATAAAATAAGCTTAAATTAATTTGAGTTGAAGTTATTCTTTTCTCTATGCGTATCATCTATTTTCATCAAGCGTGTAAATTTAGTGTTTTTTCATATCAATAAGTTTATAGAAATTTTTGTAGATTTTTTGAACAACCCTAATTTCAAAACGTGGGGGTGGAAATTTCAGGTGGTCTTATACATAGTTTCTTGGCACACTGTATGACCAAAAATGAAGAAGGAAAGAATAACTGCTACTCAAACTAGATTGAGTAGAGGGGGGGGGGGGGTATCCAAAAAGGGGATGTCCAATAATATCCAAAAAGACTCGCATTTTTTAGGCATTTTCCCGAACACTAGGTATATAAAAAGTAGACACTGTATTTTGCATAAGGGAGAAAGAACAAAAAAACAATTTAAATTTTCACCAAAATAATTCTTCAAACATTTTTCAGAACCTTATTATTCACTCTATACGCCCTCATAATCACAATTAATGCATTTCAACTTATTTGGGGAAAAGGCTTCATTGACGGGTTTCAACAGGCTGCCGGCTATGTAATTTGGTTAACCATAACTTTTGATTACGGAATTGGAAGTTATTTGAGTTATTTATCTCTCGATTTTATGATACTTAGATACAGGCAGCCTTTTTTATTTAAAAAATTTTTATTTAAATTTTAGAGGCTATTGGGGAAATATGCCAAAAGTATATGAAGAAGACGTTTTTCGTTTAAAATGTGAATAATTTATTTTTTTTTTTGAAAATCAAATTTTTTTTGTGATATTTTATTTCAACATACCTAACTGTTTTTTTGATGGTTTTTTTAATAATTATAAATAATTTTAGAGTTTAAAATAAAAATTATTTTGTGGACTATATTTTCTAAGGATACACCCCAACCTACTGCGAGGCCAACCTTCCGCCGAGCTATAACTTTTTTCAAAATAATCGAATCCGGGGCACCCTGGTATGGTTCGATGCGCCTCGACGAGCTGAATCGAACCATACTAGGGCGTCCCGGATTCGACAATTCTGAACAAAGTTATAGCTCGGCGGTAGGTTGGCCTGCTCCCATTTTCTAATATATGTAGTCTTCCGCTACTCTTGTGTTATATGCCCCGATTTTTCTTTTTGCCGAATTTGATTGTCCATAGCTTTTTTTATTTTTAGTCCAATCCGAATTGAATCATATATCATTCGAAAGTGCTCGATAAGCACTATTTATTCCAACTAGTTGGATCATACTAGCGGGGCTAGTCACTATTTCCGTCGTCCGTTCCAGCCCTTTCTACCTTTGCCGTCATTGTACATTTCCACATTGAATAAACTGTTATTCTTGTGCACATCAACATTAGACAACCCTCAGACATAACCGGACAGCCTCCTGTTGCATTCGATTATTTATGTTGTGTATGGGCGTCAGCCCTTAAATTGTTTACTATAAAAGCCTGTGAAAGCGTCAGTCTAGCTGGATCATACTAGCGGGGCTAGTCACTATTTCCGTCGTCCGTTCCAGCCCTTTCTACCTTTGCCGTCATTGTACATTTCCACATTGAATAAACTGTTATTCTTGTGCACATCAACATTAGACAACCCTCAGACATAACCGGACAGCCTCCTGTTGCATTCGATTATTTATGTTGTGTATGGGCGTCAGCCCTTAAATTGTTTACTATAAAAGCCTGTGAAAGCGTCAGTCTAGCTGGATCATACTAGCGGGGCTAGTCACTGATCTCCTTCGTCTGTCCCATTCCATTCGCCTTCATTGTACATTTTTACTTTGGATAAAGTGTTATTATTGTGCTCGTCGAAATTAGTTAAATCTCGGACAGACTTCGGGTCGTAACAATTTAATCCTCACTTTAGTTTTTTAATTCATTTGTCGGACACAATATAGCTTTAAACAATGTTTAGAATTTTTTTATTTCTAAAAATTAAATTAAAAATTTTAAATTTTCACCTGCAAATTAAAAAGTAAGATAAACATTATTTACATTTAAAAATTAAAAATTTGTCAGAATTTTTTAAATTGGTTTTTTAAAAGTTGGCAATTTTAAGAGTGGGCAGTTAAAAGTAAAACAATCTGCTTCTAATAATTATATAGAAAAAAATTTTTTGTTTATCTTAAAGGACTCGAAGTAAATGGCAGCTGAAAATGTTAAAATTAATTAGACGGCTTTTTACTTTTAAATAAATATTTTTAAAAAAATTTTCACTAAAAAAATTTTTTTTACTGAAAAAATTCTTAAATCAAAAAGAGATATCTAGCCACATTTTAATTAATAAATTAAAATAAAAATGTCCAATTTTCTTGATATTTTACTTAAATTTGATTATTGGGGCAGTTTATTACTTGGTTATCCTCTAAACATTATTCTGATTATTTTAATTATTTTTAAAACACCGAAAGAAATGGAGACACACAGCAGAATTCTGATACAAAATTGTGTTTTGGATATTTTAGTATTGACATTTCAAATGTTTATTCAAGTGGTAAACGTTTTTATTTGACTAAGCTCGTCAAGCCCTTCGAATAACATATAATTTGTCAATTTTAGAGTACCGTATAACCTGTATTAATTGCCCTCCCTCAAATAATTACCCCACTTCCATCAATTACCCCATCCAGTGATAGATTGAAACAATAATTACCCCCAAACAAATGCCCTAAAACACGTTCAAATTTCAAACCTCGTATAATTACCCTCCCTCAATTAATTACTCCCTCCAACGAAAGGTCGAAACATTAATTACACAGTGTAGTAATTAAAGGATATACGGTATGGGGGCTCAAAGCAAATTTTTCCGAAAATTTAATACTACATAAAAGATTTTAAAATATACCGTATTTATTCTAATATAATGGCCGCCATTCTATTTTTCGATACCCTCAAAAAAGTGCCATTCAATTAGAGGGCCATTCAAATGGAGGGGCCATTCAATTACATAGAATAAATACGGTATTTTAAAGACAGTTAACCCGGTTTTATACTGATTTTCTGCTTGTAAGATTTTTAAATTTAAACATTATTAAGTTTGTTATAATTGACAACAATGCAAATTCAGTCTTTATTTTTACTAACGGCATTTTTGTTGAATTTGTGGAAGATAATTTCAACAAAATTATCTGTACAAGCTTTGTAATTATTGTTCAATTTTTTTTCATTATAAATTTGTATGGATTGTGTGCCCAATTTGTTTATAGATATTTAATTCTGAACAGGTAAAACACAAAAAAGTTTGGCTCTATTACACAATATATGTCCAATCGACTTTTATAAGTCCAATCAACTTTATGAGTCCAATAAAAAAATAGGATTTTTCTTGGTGTTGCTAAATTGGGGGCATGGTTCCAAAACATTTCTTCATTTTCGGGACCAAAGCCCACTGGGTCTGGGACCGTTCCTTACCCTACCCTCGAAATTTATGAAAGTTAAAATCGTTTTTCTGAAGTTTTTAAAAATTGGCTATATAAATTTCGAGGGATAGGGTAAGTAACGGTCCAAGACCTAGTTCCGAGGTCCAGGTTTGATCATGAAGAAATGTTTTGGAACCATACCCTAAGTTTGCAACACCAGGAAAAATCCATTTTTTTGATTGGCCGCATGAAGTGTGATAGGATGTATAAAAGTCTATTAGACGTATATTGTGTAATAGAACCTAAAGTTTACTCAGAATATGTCATTGATACAAAAATAAATTTATAGAAACATGAAACCAAACTTTAAACGCTATCTATATATGTTTTCGAGTGTGTTACTAGTTGGTGTGTTTTATAATCTGCTTTTTATTTTCTTTGCCACATTTGATGGAGGCATTAAAATGCTGGATGAAGTTAACAGAACATTGCCATTTATTATCATGAAATCAACGGTATCAGAATTATTTTAAAATATACGTATTAGTGTTAGGATGGCGTGAGATACAAAAACCACAGCCTTTCTTTATACTTAATCACTGGAGATATGGACTAGTGGGTCAATGTCCAGCTCGCGACCCATATGTCCGCAAAGGCATTTCTGTGAGGTATTGACTTTAGAGCGTCTCAGGAGCCATCTATTCCACCCAAATCCAACTATGAAATTTGGTTTGGGTCGAGTAATATAGATAAGTAATATAGAGCGGACAGAAATAATAGGCTCAGGAGCCACAACTATTACAAATTTTCCCGAAGTAAGAGGGAAAGTTGAACAAGGGATGAACGAGCGTCTAATTTATAGTATTTTTTGAAGCAAGATTTGCCATCAATAATTATGATTCTAATTATACTACTTCCATTTATTATAATTTTTATTTGTGGATTTAAAATGGTTTATTATGTTAATTCACATACTGGATTTGATCAAAATATGAAGAGATTACTTAAACAATTGACAAAAACTTTGATAATTTTGGTATACTTATACAATTTATTTTATTCAAGTATTTAAATTTAAGGCAATTATTCCATTCATTAACCAATTTTTGGCTTTATTAGTTATATTATTTAAATTCAACAATGAACCTTCGAATAATGAGAATAGCAAAAATATCATTTGTATATTTCTTGTAATGTTCACTCATTTTACACCCGTTTTTAACCCAATTTTTTGCATAATAACTAATAAGCCATACAGAGAAGCTGTTTTTAATCGTTTAAAAATACATCCACAATAAATACTGTAAATGCTCTAATATAAGCCCTGGGCTTATATTTTTCAAAGATCACTTTGAGTGGGCTTATATTGGAGACTGGGCTTCTATTAGAGTCGGGGCTTGTATTTTTCAATCTTCTTTTCTAGATAAAATTAAATTTTTAATCATCATTTACGGTACTTTATTTTATGTTAATAAGAGAAATGTTAATATTAGAGCCCGGACGGAGGGCTCGGTCGATATTTTTTCGATAATTCGAAAAATATATATCGAAAAATATCGAAAAAATATCGTATCGATCCGGGCTCTAGTTAATATACATACCGTATTTTCTCGATTAATTCCCCTGGGGAATTAATATTTCAACCATGCGTGGGATGGGGAATTATTCGAGGGAGGGGAATTATTGGAGTTTTGGCATTTGAACGTGCATTAGGGTATTTGTGGGTGGGGAATTATTGTTTCAACTCTAGCATGGGGAATTAATCGAGAGGGGGAATTATTCGAGGGAGGGGAATTAATCGAGAAAATACGGTATTTAAAAATGTTGATATAGTAATCAGAACTAGAGACCGGACTTTAGTGATCGTTCGATAATATCGACATCGATATATCGTATCGATCCGGTCTCTAGTTCTGAATCAGAACTACATATTAAAAGCTAGATGAACATTTTAATAAAAATTGTGACAATATTTTTCGTAATTTTTTTGTAATTATCCTTTTTTTGTTTATATTGTATCTTGACTCTTTAATGTACTTTATAAGTAAACAAGTTAATTTCATGTCAAGATATCTCACGATTTTTATTAAAAAATTTCCTTTGAAAAATTGTATTTTTAAAAATTATTAGTGTGAAACATTTTTAATACATTAATTTTACTTTGTTTAACTATAAAACTTTTAAAAATTAAAAAATTGTCTGATTTACTTGGTAATTTAAATTTGATTATTTTGTTTGTTTTTTTTAATCCTCACCCCCCTCCCCCTAAAATAGTACTCTCCTATATTTGAAAAAATTATAAAAGTTGGATGAAAAAAATATCGGACTAAATTAACGTATAAAATTTTAAATAAATTTAGAACAATGTTACAATTAAAACCAGAATTTGTTTTGAATTAATTCTGGTTTTTAATAAAAGCTTGTTTTAAAACTTTTAAATTTTAAATTTTATTATACCGGTAGCACCGGAAAGTACTGCAGAAAACGTCAAGAACAGATTTTGGAAAATTTGGGTACTTTTTCGCATCGATTCTTTTCGCTAGTTTCGCTACCGGTACCGAAAAAATCCAATTGTCGATTTAAATAAATAAGCAATACTGCTCCCGCCAAAATAACCCCAAGCTGTTGAAAACGCATATTTTTCTCTTTGGACGAAGTTTTGGTCGGCCAAAGTGTTGGTAGACGAAATGTTGTCCGGCAGAGTTTTGTCGGTCGAAGTCGTGTCCGTTCGAAGTTCTGCCCTGACACGCTTTAAAGAACAAACACCAAAGTCGTCAATTAATAATATCTCACGAATTTAATTAAAATAAGGAAATTTTCCCAAAAATGTTTTTTTAGATAAATAGTATTAATGTAAATATTTTTAAATTTTGTCATATTTAAAAATTATTTAGTGAGTGAAACATTTTAATAAAAATTTTCAAATTAATTTTTTATTATACTTCTTTTAAAATTAAAATAAAATAATGTCGAATTTACTTGATAATATATTTAAATTTGATTATTTTGTTTGTTTATTACTTGGTTATCCTCTAAACATTATTCTGATTATTTTAATTATTTTTAAAACACCAAAAGAAATGGAAACACACAGTCGAATTCTGATACAAAATTGTGTTTTGGATATCTTGTTCCTAACATATGTAATGTTCGCACAAGTGGTAAAAACATTGGATAGACCAAAATTAAATTTGAACAAAATTAAATTCTTTTCTAAAAGAAAAGGCTAATAAATCAGAGTTATTATTTCCGGAAGGTTTCAGATAATATTACTTTCCGACAAAGAAATATTGGGAACTTATAAAGGATTCGATATCTTTAAAAATTAACTAATATTAAGTTTTTATAAGTTCACATCAAAATTTGTACTCGTACTTTTCTTTAGTACGAGTAGTACAAGATACTATTACGAGGCCATATGTATATCTCAAGGCAGATGTGGGTTCTGAATTCAGATTTCCGACGTTTTTTCCCTTACGATTTCCGAATTCCATCTTTTGAGCCATTTCCGATTTCTGGCAGTTCCGATTTCCGACACCTTCGTCATTTCCGACCCACTTCTGCCCCAAGGTGCCACGAGGCCAATGTACTGCAGTGTAGACCGGGTCGATGCACCTCGACGAGCTGAATCAAATCATACCAGAGCGTCCCGGGTTCTAAATTTGAACAAAATGCTAGCTCTGCTGTATTGACTCGCGGTATCTTGGCTTGCTCACGAATTCAAAAATAGGCAGGTACGAAGTCGAGCAAAATTAAAATTCTAAACACACACGATATCCCGTTCAATCATTCTTAATATTTAATCCCACGGCTTCTAAAAGTCCCATTGAGCAGGAATGACTTTTTGGGAGCTACTAAAGATATAAACCAGAATTAATCAAAACACAAATTTAAATTAAATAAACAAACATAGGCCAGCTCCCGCCGTCAAAAATAGGCAGGTACGAAGTATGAGCAAAATTAAAATTTCTAAACACATACGATATCCCGTTCAATCATTCTTAAGCTTATTTAATCCCACGGCTTCTAAAAGTCCCATTGAGCAGGTGTGACTTTTTGGGAGCTACTAAAGATATAAACCATAATTAATCAAAACACAAATTTAAAATAAATAAACATAGTTAGAATTTTTAAAAAATTAAAAAAAAATCAGAATTTTTAACATAAAGTTGTATATACTTGACGACAGTGGAAATTCAGTTTATATTTTTACTGGGGGCATTTTCCTTGAATTTATGAAGAATAATTTTAACAAAATTATTTACCTCAGTTTTTTATATTTTGGAGGGTTTTATTATAGTTTAAATTTGTATGGAATGTGTGCCCAATTTGTTTACAGATATTTAATTTTGAACAAGTAAATCACAATAAATTTTTAATCCGAATTAATTTAAAAATTAAACAGAAACATGAAAATTAACTTTAAACATTATTTAATGCATATGTTCTCGACGGTTGTGATTGTTGGATTGTCACATAATCTGATAAGTATTTTCTGCGGTATGCAATATACTGTTGATGGAGGTATTAAACAGTTTGATGAAGAATATTTAAACAAAACTTTTCCGTTTGTTACTATAAAATATGAGGTATTGAATTTATGGAATTAAAGAGTATTTCGGTAATAATTCGGCTACCCCCCCCCTTTCCGTTCTATTTTTTCATTGTAAAGCTGTTTATTTCCTAAGGCTATGCAGTAGTAGGCCTGGTGTAATGGCTAACACATCAGTCCGGTCTACTGAAGATGCTGTTTCGCTCCCAGCACCGATTAACCTCTTGCAGTAGCTAAAGGAGAGAAATAGCTATAGCCCAGCTGCCTTACTTCATTTTTATGGAAAATATATATCAATCGAAAGAGCTCTTCGAGCTGAGTTGATTGGCAGTAAACTCATCGAAATTTGACCTTAATCAACTTAATTATGACATTAAAACCCCTTGTAACGGCACAAAAGGCCTTTCCATCGAGTATTCAGCATCATAATTTTGTTTCTATTGACCGAATCCAACCGATCATGGTATCGTTCGACCTAGTTCGAACAGCTCTTTCGAATGATATATAATAAATTACACATATATCAAGCAAAAAAGCTTATAATGATCAGAGAAACCAGAAAAGCTGGGGGGGGGGGGGCGTCAGCCGAATTATTATCATTATTTCAATAAATAATTTTTGAAGCAAGGACTTCCTTCATTATTTACAACTCTCCTCATGTTAATTTCCTATTTAATAATTTTTATTTGTGGATTTAAAATGGTTTATTATGTTAATTCACATACTGGATTTGATCAAAATATGAAGAGATTACTTAAACAATTGACAAAAACTTTGATAATTTTGGTAAATTATTTAATTTTGATTATTAATTTTATTTAAATTTAAGACAATTATTCCATTTATTAATCAACTTTTAGCTATATTAACTATTTTCACTAAATACAATAATAAAATAAATAATTCACAAGATACTAATACAATTTTAATTTATAACAACAAATTAATTGTCTATATATTTCTTTCGTGTTTTAATCATTTTGTACCTGTTTTTAACCCAATTGTTTGTATAATAACTAATAAGCCCTACAAAGAAGCTGTTTTAAATCGTTTAAGAATACATCCACAATAATTTCTGTATTATACGTCAAAAAGATTTTACAGAATTATTTACAGAAAATAAAAAATTTTACAGAATTATTCCATCGAATTACATTAATTTTGTCTTTTTTATTATTTTATAAAATTTGACACAAATTGACAAATATTTTTTGTATAAAGTTGTTATTTTCGGTTGAAAACGATAGATATGAATGTCGTTCTCGTCAGAGTAGTAGCCAATACAAAATTACAATTTGAATTTTGGGGCAGGATTTGACCTGCTCACATGCAAAAACTTTACATGAAGCAAGAAACAAGTTGGGGTAAATGTCCAACTCATGACCTATATGTCCGCAAAAGGACATATAGGCCACGAGTTGGACATTTACCACAAGTTAGAAAGTGTCGATTGATGCCACATGAATGACACAAAATCACTAACTACCTTCTGTCATTTCGGATCGAAATACATTGATAAAAGACTTCGTCAGATAAAAGCAAAGTTCGGGGTTTTGCTCAAGCGTCTTGACAACAACGATATTGTTTCTCTAATATTTTTTAATAAGGCATTGCCTGCAGATTGGGGTATTGTGTACTTAATACACTTTCGTGACGTTACTCAGAAATTTGTTAGAATGTAAACAAAATTTTCCCAAGAATATTTTTTGTATTTTTAAAAGTAATTAGCGTGAAAATTTTTAATAAAAAAATTTTTTTTATTAATTAATTTACTTTATTTTACTATAAATCTTTTGAACATTCAAATAAAAAATGCCCAATTTAACCGATATTTTATTTAAATTTGATTATTGGGGCAGTTTATTACTTGGTTATCCTCTAAACATTATTCTGATTATTTTAATTATTTTTAAAACACCAAAAGAAATGGAAACACACAGCCGAATTCTGATACAAAATTGTGTTTTGGATATTTTATTATTAACAATTCATATGTTTGCACAAGTGGTAAAACCTTTAAAACCAAATTAGAATTAAATTTCATCATTAAGTTTTACATAATTGATAGCAATAAAAATTCAGTCTTTATTTCTACTAATGGCATTTTCTTTGAATATATGAAAAATAATTTTAACAAAATTATTTACATTAGTCTTATAATTATCATGCAGTTCTTTTTCATTATAAATTTGTATGGATCGTGTGCCCAATTTGTTTACAGATATTTAATTCTGAATAGGTAAAAGACAAACAATTTTAATCAGAATTTAAAATAAAAATTGATAAATGAGGAGATTACTGTTCCCTAGAAAAATTTGGAAATTCTTAAGGTTTGCCTGAATGTAATAAGTAGGGTAGCTCCCGAGCCTTCGGGGTCAGAAGTGTCGGGGATCGGGGTTTGTCGGGGTAGATACTCGGGGTTCGGGTCGTGGTTTTTGCCAAAAAAATCGTCGGGGTGGGTTGGAGTTTCGGGGGACGGGGAGCTACCCTAGTAATAAGTGCTGAGTCCAAATCTTAACTTAGAAATCGCATATTTTTAACCCAGGACCGGAATTCGCCAAGTCGAATTGAGTCAAGATAATGTTTATAATATCGTAATTTCGAAGTTCCATCCGTATTCGACTTCGTTGACGTATGATCGGGTGTTAGAAATTAGTAATTTCTAGGGACCAGTGAACTCCATATTGTAAGGCTTAAAGGTGTAATCCTTGAGAAAGTAATAAAAACCCCGTCTAGATAAGGAAAAGCAGCTTAGTTGATGTTTATTCCAACTTAGTTCTCTATTAATCAATGGCCTAGTGTTCGGTCGGCCTAGAGCCTGACCAAGTTGGTATACCAACAATCATTCACCCCGCGCGCTTGCGCTACCTCTGGCAATTATTCACCCCGCACTCCATCAACAATTAGGGTTGGCCCCTCTAATTAATAATTTACTATATTTACCCAAAACAAATTTATAGAAACATGAAAATTAATTTCAAAAAGTATTTTTTGTACATGTTCTCGATTGTTTTAATTATTGGTCTGTTTTATAATTTAATTTTTATTTCATTCGCCATAATTGATGGAGGCGTTAAACATTTTGATGAATTAAACAAAACATTGCCATATGTTTCTTTTAAATCAGCGGTATTTTTTAAAAAGTGTAAAAAGTGCAATAAATTATTTTTTGAAGCAAGACTTGGCAACAATAATTGTAATTCTTTTCCAATACCCCCATTAATTATAATTTGTATTTGTGGATTTAAAATGGTTTATTATGTTAATTCACATACTGGATTTGATCAAAATATGAAGAGATTACTTAAACAATTGACAAAAACTTTGATTATTTTGGTGAATTATTTAATTTTTTGCATAATTTTATCAAATTTAAGGCAATTATACCATTTATTAATCTATTTTTGTCATTATTACTTGGATACTTTACATACAATACTCAGGCAAATGATTCAACTAAAGAAAATAAAAATATTCTCTATATATTTCTTTCAAGTTTCAATCATTTTGTACCTGTTTTTAACCCAATTGTTTGTATAATAACTAATAAGCCGTACAAAGAAGCTGTTTTTAATCGTTTAAGAATACATCCACAATAATTTCTGAATTTTATTTTGATAAATGTTTTTATGTTTTATTGACTGGTTTAATAAATACAGAATTATTTTTCATCGAATTACATTAATTTTGTCTTTATTTTATAAAGTCTGACGCAAATTGATAAATATTCTTTATATAAAGTTGTTATTTTCGTTTAACAACGAAAGATATTGTAAGGATCAAAGGTGTAATCCTTGAAAAATTAATAAAAACCACGTCTAGAGAGAAGGTGCATATAAGCTAAAGGAAAATAAGGAAAAGCAGCTTAGTTGATGTTCATTCCAACTTAGTTCTTCATTAATCAATGGCCTAGTGTTCGGTCGGCTATAAGCCTGACCAATTCCCCTTATCCTTTCCAACGGCGATTATCGAATTTATCTTCATTTTGCTCTTTCATGTACTTTTTCCAAGTTCATTTCGGAAAGAAACAGCGAGCTCGGGGGCTTTGTTCAAGCGTCTTGACAAAACAATAGAGTTTCTTTAATATTTTTTAATAAAGCATTGCGTGAGATCGGGGTCTTATGTACTTTATAACACTTGAGACGTTTCTCAGAAATTTGTTTGAATGAAATAAACAAAAATTTCCCAATAATATTTTTTGTATTTTTAAAGGTTATTTGCGTCAAACTGTTTAATAAAAAAATATTTTTATTAATTAATTTACTTTATTTTACTATAAATTTTTTGAACATTAAAATAAAAAATGCCCAATCTAATTGATATTTTCCTTGGATGGGATTTTTGGGGAAGTTTATTACTTGGTTATCCTCTAAACATTATTCTGATTATTTTAATTATTTTTAAAACACCAAAAGAAATGGAAACACACAGCAGAATTCTGATACAAAATTGTGTTTTGGATATTTTATTATTGACAATTCAGATGTTTGCACAAGTGGTAAAACATAAACAAAATTAAATCAGAATTATTTAATGTACATCAGGGTTGCCGCGGGTACAAAAAATCTTCGGGTACGGGTTTCGGGTTGGCAAAAAGATTCTGCGGTGTCCGCAGATTCTGCGGAAACATCCACTGATTCTGGGGAAACATTCCGCAGATTCTTAAAGAAATACATATAAAGAAAACAATTAAAAATAAAAATCAGAATTTAATAAAAACACAATTAAAAAATTTATTTAAGTTTGGGATAACAGACAAGGATGGAAATGAAATTTTTATTTTAACTGACGGGATTTTGATTAATTTTGTGAAAGAAAAGTTTAACCCATTATTTTTGTATTATATGTTGATTACTTGGCAATTTATTTATAATTTAAATACTGACGGTTTATGTGTTCAATTTATATATAGATATTTAGTTTTAAACAGGTAATTAACGATCAGAGGTGGGTCGGGACAGTCAGAGGTGTCGGAACTCGGAACTGTCGGGAGGAACTTCGGAAATCGGAAATGGCTCAAAAGTCGAAAATCGGAAATCAAAATTTTTTTTCGGAAATCGGAAGGACAAAAACGCCGGAACTAGGAAATAGGATTCCGACCCACCTTCTTAATGCTTATCTTATGTTCCTATCTATTTAACAGAAATATGAAAATTAACTTTCGTCGTTATTCGTATATGTTTTCGATAGCTTTACTAATAAATATAATTTATGAATTGGATGATATCTTTTTCATAATTCCATATTCTGGTGGAGGTGTTAAACAAATTGTCGAGTTTAATGAAACATTGCCCTTTGTTCAAATTATAACGGATAATGTAATTTTTTAAATATTTTTTTTCAAATAATTTTAATAAAAAGATAATTATTTTGGCAAGTGTCCCAATAATGTTTATTGAAATTATTCCATATTTTATAATAATTTTTTGTGGAATTAAAATGGTTAAATACGTTAATTCACATACAGGACTTGATCAGAATATGAAAACATTGTCTAAACAATTAACAAAAACATTAATAATTCTGGTATGTTTTGAATTAATTCTGGTATGTTTTAAATAAATTCTGGTATGCTTTGAATTAATTCTGGTATGTTTTGAATTAATTCTGGTATGTTTTGAATTAATTCTGGTATGTTTTAAATTAATTCTGATTTTGTTTTAAATTAATTCTGATTTTGTTTTGAATTAATTCTGGTATGTTTTGAATTAATTCTGGTATGTTTTAAATTAATTCTGGTATGTTTTGAATTAATTCTGGTATGTTTTGAATTAATTCTGGTATGTTTTAAATTAATTCTGATTTTGTTTTAAATTAATTCTGATTTTGTTTTGAATTAATTCTGGTATGTTTTGAATTAATTCTGGTATGTTTATAATTAATTCTGATTTTGTTTTAAATTAATTCTGATTTTGTTTTGAATTAATTCTGGTATGTTTTGAATTAATTCTGGTATGTTTTAAATTAATTCTGGTATGTTTTAAATTAATTCTGATTTTGTTTTACATTAATTCTGGTATGTTTTGAATTAATTCTGGTATGTTTTAAATTAATTCTGATTTTGTTTTAAAT